GAAAATGTGGAGAAAGTACAAAGACATAGTAGCCCTGGGGATATCTCTCATTTCATCTGTGATGAAATGTATTACAGTGGGGAAATATACTACAGTAACTAGAACTATTAATGATATTTCTGGTTGGATTTAAATAGATATGGTGGCATGTTTCATGAAAAAGACTTATTTTCTAATACGGGAAGAATTGGGTTACAAGAACAAAGCTCTCCCATCCCCCAGGGTAAGCTATACAATCAGGAATATGGTTTACATGAGTGCAAGAAGATGAAAGGATTTTGAAAACACCAATCAAACCATAATTGAATGGACAACTGTTTTATAAGATTTATGCAGAGTCTTCTGTAGAAAAGCACAAATGAAATTGAAAGAGTAATCTTCCATTCAACATTTTTAAAGAGGAGAAATATCCTGCAGTGGTATCCACTAGGAGAAGATCTGAATATCATACATGAGTAGCAGTGGTAGCAGCCTGCTAGCTGATGTTAAGCTATAGGTTTCAGCAGCCCAGCCATCATAGCCAGCGGTGAGGATTTGCAGTCAAACCATTTTGGGAAGCCTGCACAATTTCCACCTCTTCATTGGAGGAATTTTGAAATTGGGGACCTATGCAGGAAACACATTTCAAGATTTACTTGGGGTAGAGGGACTTTTTAATTGTATACACTTTGCTAAATCACTTGACTTCTATGGAAATTACAAACTAACCCCATATGAAGTTGACACTCTGGCACTTTAGTTGTGAATGTTGTTTAATATCTACATGAAGCCGCTGGGAGAGATCATCCGGAGTTTCGGGGTACGGTGTCATCTGTACGCAGATGATGTCCAACTCTGTCACTCCTTTCCACCTGCTACTAAGGAGGCTATTGAGGTCCTGAACCGTTGCCTGGCCGCTGTAACGGTCTGGATGAGGGCGAACAAATTGAAATTGAATCCAGACAAGACAGAGGTACTCCTGGTCAGTCGCAAGTCCGAACAGGGTATAGGGTTACAGCCTGTGCTGGATGGGGTCGCACTCCCCTTGAAGGCGCAGGTTCGCAGCTTGGGTGTGATCCTGGATTCATCGCTGAGCCTGGAGCCCCAGGTCTCGGCGGTGACCAGGGGAGCATTTGCACAGCTTAGGCTCGTGCGCCAGCTGCGCCCGTACCTCGGGAAGTCTGACTTGGCCATGGTAGTCCACGCTCTGGTTACATCCCGTTTAGACTACTGCAATGCTCTCTACGTGGGGTTGCCTTTGAAGACGGCCCGGAAGCTCCAACTGGTCCAACGGGCGGCAGCCATGATACTAACTGGAGCGGGACGCAGGGAGCATACAACCCCCCTGCTGTACCAGCTCCACTGGCTGCCGATCTGCTACCGGGCTCAATTCAAGGTGCTGGCACTGGCATATAAAGCCCTAAACGGTTCCGACCCAAGATACCTAACTGACTGCCTCTCGGCCTATGAGCCCACGAGGACTTTGAGATCTTCCGGGGAGGCCCTGCTCTCGATTCCGCCTGCGTCACAGGTACGGCTGGCGGGGACGAGAGATAGGGCCTTCTCGGTGGTGGCGCCTCGGCTGTGGAACACCCTTCCTGTGGACATCAGGCTAGCTCCCTCCCTGTTGATATTCCGCAGGAAATTAAAGACCTGGCTGTTTAAGAAGGCATTTGAACAAGAAGTGCAATGATTGATAATTTGACCATAGGAATGGAACAACAGAAATGATATCGGATTGTGGGTTTGACGATGAGACGACACGGAATGGCTTTTGTAGTAATGTTGATGTTTTTGATTAGGATGTTTTTGATAATGATGAATTGTGGATTATTTTTTACACTATGTCTTGTATTTTGCACCTGTTTTTCTATGTTGTACACCGCAATGAGTCGCCTCTGGGCTGAGAATTACGGTATACAAGCGCAGTAAATAAATACATAAATAAATAAATAAATTATGGAAGCTAGTTTTATCTACAGATGGTCTGTGTTTTTAAAATTGTGCTATTTTATGTTATATTATATGTGTTGATATTGGTTGTTTTTTTATAATTTCTATGTAATATTGTTTTATACTCATGTATCATTTACTGGTATGTTATATGCTGCACCTTGGAGTGCTTTTGTAAGTGCCCTGAGTCCCCTTGGGGAAATGGTGGTGGGATATTATTATTATTATCATTATCATCATCATCATCATCATCATCATCATTATTTGAAACACAACAAGATGAGTCCACAGCAAACAAAATCACTCTGCTGCCTGTTGTATTGGATCACACGTCGGACACTTCCCAGGTGTCTAGGACTGTGTGATGTATCGGCAAATAATGCATGCAGATCCCTGTAAGGTGGCCTTTTGCAGCTGGCAGATGGTAATTTTGTCAGCGCCGATTGTGTTTAAGTGCAGGCCAAGGTCTTTAGGCACTGCACCCAGTGTGCCGATCACTACCAGGACCATCTTGACTGGCTTGTGCCAGAGTTTTTGCAGTTCAATCTTTAAATCCTCATATCGTGTCATAACAGAAAGTCCCATCGTCAAAATCCAAACTTGTTTAACCATGATTTCCATGTACACATATGGTTTTTCATTTTAAACTCATTAAAATCATAACAATGTCATGATCAGAGGAATAAAAAGCATTTGCATCTTCTGCTAATCATGGGATTAGGCACAGGTTTGTTGTAAAAAGGAATTGCTGATGTTGTGCCTTCCAGTATGGCAGCCCTATGGCAAACCCAACAGGGGTTGTCGTGGCAAGATTTGTTCAAAGGGGATTTGCTTTTGCCTTCTGGGTTTCTTTAATTCCATGGAGTTTTTTTAGCAGAAGCTGATGGCCATCTGTTGGGAATGCTTTGAGGGTGTATTACTGCATGGCAGGAGGCTGGACTGGATGGCCCTTGTGGTCTCTTCTAACTCTATGATTGCTCTGAGGATGAGATGTCACTTTCCCAAGCTCACCTGCTTCTTCTCTCCCAAAGGAGACTCAAAGCGGCTAGCACTAAAAATAACATTAACATTTTATTATGTTAGCATCAACATCTAGCCCTAGTTGAACCATCTATGATTATCTCACTAGTATTAAGATGAGTGGCGCCCCCAGTGGCACAGCTGGTTAAATCGCTGAGCTGCCAAACTTGCTGACCGAAAGGTCGGCAGTTCAAATCCAGGGAGCAAGGTAAGCTCCCGTTGTTAGCCCCAGCTTCTGCCAACCTAGCAGTTCAAAAACATGCTAATGTAAGTAGATCAATAGGTACCACTTTGGCAGGAAGATAATGGCTTGCTCCGTACAGTCATGCTGGCCACATGACCTTGGAGGTGTCCACAGACAACACCAGTTCTTTGGCTTAGAAATGGAGATGAGCACCACCCCCCAGAGTCAGACACGAGTAGACTTAATGTCAAGGGGAAATCTTTGCCTTTTATTAAGATGAATGTGAGTGTAATGAGGAAAGCCAAACAAAGATGTTGAGTATTAAAGACTACCAGAGGTTTTCATTTCCTAGTAAACTTACAGCTGAATATGAAGTCTTTCTGGCAATTCTGTATTCCAAGTGCAGATGACACTTCGAATGAAGAAAAATCATAGAATAGAGTTGGAAGGGACCACATGGGCTATCTAGTCCAACCCTCTGCCATGGGAATCAGAATGAGCCCTGTTAACTGGTTAATAGCATGTATTCACTACACACAAGAAGTGAGCACAAGTGTACTAAATTCACCAATATCCCATCCCCTCTTTCATCACAGTCTATCTATGTGTGCAGGGTGACCATCTGCAGTAGAAATAATCTTCTATCCTTGGAGGTTGTACATATTGAAAGCAACAAAATAGGAATGGGGAAGCAAGCCCAATCCCCCCTGCCCTCCCATTTACAGAAAATGTTTGGACTGGGCTTATACTTCAACTTCTTTTCTATAAACTATGGGCTTCTACCATAATAATAATGTTACAAATTCTAACATTGAATATGCAAGAGGAAAGTGTCTGAAACAACTTTTATGCAAATGGACTTTGGGATCATTTGGTGTTTAAGTCTATTTCCCTCCTAAATGTAGACTTACTGCTCGTGTTGGCACCATTTTATGGCAGTCTGAAAATTGCACTGCTGACTCACAGAAAAATCTATTCAGCCATGCCCTGATTATAACCATACATGTTGTGGCTGGTTGTACCCATAAATTAGCAAATCTCCGCTGAAGCAAAGGACTGGATTAAAATTGTCTGTGCAGTGAATTCATTTGTATTTCCCCAAAAAGAGGACATACAATACTTCAAACATTTAAAAATCCTCCCACCATTCAATATGCTTTGTGCAGCCAGCCTCTCTCTCTCTCTCTCTCTCTCTCTCTCTCTCTTTCTTTCTTTCTTTCTTCCTTTCTTTCTTTCCTCTGAGCATTTGCAAGCATGTAATAGGTTGAATCAGTTTCTGTCACAGCTATCTAAAAATGCACCGAATAATTAAGTAAGTTGTTTAATTAATTATGCACAAGATTATTTGCAGAAAGCCAAGAAACTGCACAGAAATGTAACCATCCTTTTTTTGGTACTTGGCTAGCTCAGTGGAGAAACCGACATCTCCTTGATCATACATTCTCTTTTGACCAGGAACAAGCAGCATACATTTTAAAGGTGTCAAAACAAGACTGAGCAGATGCCTAGAGCAAAAACCATAAAAATAGACTTTTACGTGTGGCTTCAGGAAGGCAGATTTGGCTTAAACCTTACCTTTAGAAAATGAAGAATGTGCCCATACTAATGAGTGTACTTATATCTATTGCTAAGATTCTTTCTTTGTTTTTCTTCATAAAGCATCAAATTTGCAACAGCCCTGTGATATTTGCCTATAGTAATGAGGCTGTGAGATAGTTTGAAAGTTGGAGAGCAAGCTCAGTTTCGGAGCGTTTGTAACAATCTCCTGATGCCCACAATCAACTCTTGCTAATACATTTCAGTCTTTTCTACCAATACTTAACTTAGAAGCAGACAACCCAAAATTCCGTATCTGAATACTTACAAAAAAGAGGAGGTTGAAGAGGAAAAGGAAGTACTTTGTGACCTTCAGGCAGCCGGACCCCATCTTCTCTTTTCACAAAATCTGGGAAGAAATCAAACAATCACATAAGTAATAATCTACTGCACAGGAACAACTTGATGATTAAGGCAACTCTTTGTGAAGAGTTGTTCCTCCTTTCTCAGGGGAGGAAGTAGGACGGATTTAGTCTTGTCTCGTTAAGAAAGATTATTGTTTTGTTCTGATCTTTACTATCAATTCAACTAACATTTCCACTCTTCTAGTGCAGCACAGCATCAACTCCAGAAACAAAGGTCAATGCCAGCAGAGCCCAGAGTTTGGAAATTCCCTTGTTACAATAGCTTCATTGGCTACTGGACCATTCCTGGACATAATTCAGATGTTGATCATGACTTATAAAGCCTCCAGATGACTTCTCCATATGTGAGCTGTCCTAAGATTTGCGATCACTGGGGGAAGGCTTTCTCTAGGTCCTACCACCATCACACCATCTTCTTAATTATCTGAAAGGAGATTCCATCTGAATATTAGGAAGAACTTCCTGACTGTGAGAGCTCTTCAACAGTGGAACTCTCTGCCCTGGAATGTGGTGGGGGCTCCTTCTTTGGAAGCTTTTAAACAGAGGCTGGATGGCCATCTGTCGGGGGTGCTTTGAATGCAATTTTCCTGCTTCTTGGCAGGGGGTTGGACTGGATGGCCCATGAGGTCTCTTCCAACTATATGATTCTATGATTCCAAGCTATACATTCTCACGCCCCATAACAAACTATGTTAGAGTTCTTGCTCCTATTCTGCTGTCAGGCAATTTTTATCATTTATTTAGACAGATTTCTGGCCATTAAGTGGTAATTGCAGGAGGGTTTGTAATGGGATTTTTTTCTCATCTGTTTTGTTTTAAATACTTTTAAACTTTTTAAAAACTCAGCACTGTTTTAGTATACAATGTAATTGTTTTCATTGTTATTATGACTATTTATTTTAGCTGTGTTCTCTTTGAATTAAGTTTTCAAGCCAACTTGGATCCTTCACCAGAGGAAAGGCATGATTAAACAAAACAAAACAAAAATATAAACATAGATTTAGTGATCTCTTAGCTCTATAATCTGTTCTTCCTCTTTTGGAACAAACTCTCTTTTTGAGCCTTTACTAGTAAATGGCATTGTCTTTCAAGCACTCTTTTGTGTCTAAACTGGACCCACAGACAAAGGTGTCAGTAGGGAAAGTCGGTTTTTTTTGTGTGTGTCAGGAGTGACTTGAGAAACTGCAAGTCGCTTCTGGTATAAGATAATTGGCTGTCTGCAAGGATGTTGCCTAGGGACACCTGAATGTTTGATGTTTTACCATTCTTTTGGGAGGCTAATCTCATGTCCCTGAATGGAGAACTGGAGCTGACAAAGGGAGCTCAACCTGCTTTCCCCGGATAAGAACCACTGATCTGTCGGTCTGTAGTCCTGCCGACACAAGGGTTTAACCCATTACGCCACTGGGGACTCCTGAAGAAAGCAGTGGCTGCAGCAAAGGCCCCCCACCCTAAGCAAACAGTAAGAAGGGAAAAGTGGAACATCCTATCTGTGTTCACATGTGAAATTGGCCTAGGGCTCTGGGAAACCAGTGTAAGTATTTCTGTTCAGTCAGGACAACCCACTAGATTGGAAACACTGGGCAAGTTTCACTTTCTCAGCCCAAGAGGAAGGCAATGACAAACCGCATCTGAGGAAATTCTGCCAAGAAAACACTACCATAGATAGGGTCACCATAAGGCTGTGTCAACTTGGAAGATACATAACAACAGCAAAGTTCACCAGCAAGGTTTCCACTCTGGTCAAAGACTTTCACTTTCTTCAATAAGTTTCTTTCATTTCCTTCTCACAACACAGGATGCAAGGTGGCAATTCCTATAATAGTGTTAAGTGGCTTGCATCTGACCACATCCTTAATTGTTCTGTGTGACAATGCAACAGGAAACAAAGCAGGACAAGACTAAGAGCAGCCAACCTAGGGCAGACCTGCTCAGAGCTTCCTTGCTCTAAACCGCATTCAGCAAAGGGCCGGGAACAAAGCAAGTTATTCTGTTCCAGTTTAAATCCAGCTTCTAATCCTATTAGGTTATTTAGGTCAGTACCGAGATCAGGATGGAATTGGAGCATCATTCTAATTGGATGGCGCTCTAACTGGCCAACAGCAGTTTTCAAAAATATATCAGCTTTGTTGGGTGGGTGGAGCATGGAGGAGACAATATTTCAGATATTCCAGAAGGAGGAAGAACATTAGTATTTAATTCTGGAACAGTGAGACACATGTCCACACTTTCACCCAAATATATGCTTCCTGAGGAAGGAGTCTCCCCATTGCTCACCTTTGTTTTTAAACTAAAAGGCTAGAGACTGAACCTGGAACTACTGTACACAAAGAGTATATGCAACAATCAAGGTATGATCACTCCCTCATGTAAGCTTTGCTGAGTAGTAGATCTTGGTTCTTAGATTTTCAAGGAGAGATTCTCTGTTTAAAGTAGACTTAAGCAGACATCCATCTCAAGACAGATGCTTTGCAACATGTTGCTGCAGAAATTTTTTAACTGTACCTCCTTGCATGCTTTCTCGAATATATATGCCTTTATGAATTTGTATTCGTGTTCATTCACAAATACCATGTCTCTACATGAATGCAGGTATTCAATACCTGTATCAGTTGAATAGGACTGGAAGGCACGGTTTTCAACTTACTGAATGAATTTACAAACCACAAGTTAATTCCACATATTCCTTTGTTAGATAACTAATGGTTTTCACAAAATGAAAGCACCTCAAGGACTTTCCCCAGGCTTTCTGGTCCCAGTCTCTATGTATGTTCACCTGCACAAAATTGTAGATTATACATTCTTGAGAATGCCAAAAGAAACACAGTCAATACAAAATCAGTTTCACAGTAGAAAACGACAACTGTTTACAAACCATGCCTTGCTCTGAAAGAAAAAAATATGCCCAAATGGGAAAGACATAAGACTTCTCTTCAATAACATGGCGCCCAGTTTCGACCCAAACTGGCTAATCAGACCTTGAACCTGGGTTGTTGTAGGTTTTTCAGGCTGTATAGCCATGTTCTAAGAAGCATTCTCTCCTGATCTTTCGCCTGCATCTATGGCAGGCATCCTCAGAGGTTGTGAGACCTCACAACCTCTGAGGATGCCTGCCATAGATGCAGGTGAAATGTCAGGAGAGAATGCTTCTAGAACATGGCCACACAGCCCAAAAAACCTACAACAACCCAGTAATTCTGGCCATGAAGGCCTTTGACAATACAGATCTTGAATCTTCCTTTGCAAAAAATATTTTAATACAAACAAGGCTGAAGAGTTATATTTCTGAGACTAAGACTTCAGAAATTTCAAACCAACAACACCTGATATCTAAGATGCTGTGTGAAAATATGCATGAGGTGTGAAGAATGCTTTCTTTTTATCAGGAAATTGTAGGAAACTGATTTTTCTACAGCTCTCCAATGCATACATTATGTTACTATTTAGTTATTAAAGTGAGGAGGATGAAGGACATCTGGACATCATATTAAATTCACACAGCTAAATCATTCTACAGCAATTTCTCTATAGTGTGGCTAATATCAGTCAATTAAAAGTAAGCTTTTAAAAAAGTTTTGAAAATGCATTTTTGTACTAAAAGTACTGAAAAAGCATTGATTTTCAAATTCAAAAATCTGTAATTTAATTAGCCAAAAATGCTGTGCAGATAAAAGACACCTTAGCCATTTCTCCATTCCTACTAATTTAAAATACTGGAATCATTTTGGTACAATGGTTACATGTAAAAACATGCCTTTTATTTCAATAGAATTAATTCATCTACAATTTGTATTGCTAGAAGAAATGTACAAAATATTTTACCTGAAAAGGTAAAGCATTTGTTAGTGTTGGCTACTGACCGAGAGGGAATTCAGACTTGACAGAGAGACTGAGGCCCTTTCTATACTGCCATTTAAACCAGATCATCAAAGCAGATAATCTACACCAGCGTTTCTCAACCTGGGGATCAGGACACCTGGGGGGGTCAAAAGGGGGTGTCCGAGGGGTCACCAAAGATCATCAGAAAACACAGTATTTTCTTGTATTGTCGAAGGCTTTCATGGCTGGAATCACCTCCCAGCAACAGATTTTCCCAGGCTCAGGCAGGCCTTCAAATGCTAATGAAGGTGATCAGCTAAACATTCACACCTAACTGCAGCAGGGAAGAGCTCCTTGCTCCACCCCAGCCATTCCACAGATATATAAACCCATTTTTCCTACTTCCAACAGACCTCACAACCTCTGAGGATGCTTGCCATAGATGCAGGCGAAACGTCAGGAGAAATGCCTCTAGAACATGGCTCTATAGCCCGAAAAAACCCACAAGAACACAGTATTTTCTGTTAATCATGTGTGGGAAGTTTGCTCCAATTCTATCGTTGGTGGGGTTCAGAATGCCCTTTGATTGTAGATGAACTATAAACCCCAGCAACTACAACTCCCAAATGTCAAGGTCTATTTTCCCCAAACTTCACCAGTATTTACATTTGGGTATATTGAGTATTCCTGCCAAGTTTGGTCCAGATCCATCATTGCTTGAGTCCACAGTGCTCTCCAATTGTAAGTGAACTACAACCCCAAAACTCTAGGTCAACACCTATCAAACCCTTCCAGCATTTTCTATTGGTCATGGGAGTTCTGTGTGCCAAGATTGGTTCAATTCCATCATTGCTAGAGTTCAGAATGCTCTTTGATTGTAGGTTAACTATAAATCCCATCAACTACAATTCCCAAATGGCACAATCAATCCCCATCCTACCCCACCAGTGTTCAAATTTGTGCGCATAGGTATTTGTGCCAAATTTGATCCAGTGAATGAAAATACATCCTGCACATCAGATATTTACATTACAATTCGTAACAATAGTAAAATTACAGCTATGAAGTAGCAATGAAAATAATGTAATGGTTGGAGGTTACCACAACATGAGGAACTGTATTAAGGGGTTGCGGCATTAGGAAGGTTGCGAACAACTGATCTACT